TAAGAGAAAATAATTCATTAATATATAAGCCAAAGAATAGTTAGAAAGTAAAATTGCAGTTTCTGACTAGCAATATTTAATGTACTACAAATCTGATTTATGTAGTTATAATTAAATTAACAATCAGCATATTTCTTTGTGTTTGCATTGCCTTCTTTAGCCTGTTTTTGTCTATGTTCTATTATAATGAGAGTGAAGAGTCTTCTACTTCTTCTTGAATTTATCTCTTGACCTTAAAAATGGATCTCTATCTGAGCATCATAGAACTTAATACATTTGCTACATCTTTTTTCCCCGAGTATACTAGAAGAAATAAAGAGGGAAAATATATGTAGAATGAAATCACTATCCTCAGAATTGCTTTATTATGTTTCTTACTATTTTGGATGGATGAATAAACATCATCTCCAAGTCAAAGAACTAGTAGGGCACACTGTTTCTACTATTACTCTTTACTAGTAGGGAAGAAAATCCTGAATTTTCTCTATTTGCAGAAACTGGTGGTTTAAGTCTCTCCAAAACAAACCTCACTATATAAAGAAAGAAATCCTATCTAAAGGCGCTTACTGTGGAAGGCATTTTGATAATATCTGTATGAATCTGTGGGTTATTTTGGAAAACCATCCCCTGTGTTCAGAGATACTGATTTCTTTGTGGCTAAGCAGCTGCTTATGACCTTGAACAAAGTAGAAGTCTTGGAATGCCTTTCTGCTGTCTGCAAGGCCCTGCTTCTGCCAGTTACTACACAAAGGAATAGTTGAATTCCACATGGAATATAGGTATGTTTGGGTTTCAGGAAGTAATAGAGTACTGTTGATTAGTTGTGAACCAGAACAAATAAGCCACAAGAGGGCATATTTTTCTTTATTTCAGCACCTTTACATAAATAAGTCTTGCCTCAACCACATATCATGTGAATCTTCTTCTCTCTACCCTATTTCCTCAGAATACGCTTTATCTAAAATATGCTCTAAAGGTGGAATGATGTTTAAGAAATGCAAAGTTGAACATGATACTTTTTATATATGATGCCTAGGAGAGTTTATCTTTCTTAAAATCCTTTCTTCATTGATACAAGTACATTGTCACAAATAAAAGTAAAGGATCATTTGAACTCTCCTATTGAAATAGCTACATGCCCTCCTATGTCAGGCATGAATAAAACCTTCCTAGCTTCTAGTGAATGTTCAAAGTCAAGGAATTTTTTTTTCCAATGAGGTCCCAGGATTTGGTCCAAAGGGGCTGGTCTATGTTTTTATTTTTATTTTGAAGCACATTCCTGCTGAATTTAATTATTCACCACACCCTGACACAGCTAAGTAAATATAACCCTAAGATTCTGGTTTGGAAAGGTTTGAAAAATAGTTGATTCTTGTAAGAATATGTAAGGGTGAGGTACTCCAGAGAGAGCAAGGGCGTAAGGCAGGAGGCAGGAACTGGGGCTGTTCAGGCTTCGGGGTCCAGGGTCCTCTTTAGAAACTCACTCTCCTAACTCTGAACATTTGAGATTATTTATGATGTTATATAAAAAGTTAAACCTTGAAGAAGAGTTCAGATGGCTTTACATGCCAATTAAGGAATCATAAATTATCTTCTGCATTTATAAGATGATGAGAAGGAGGAATGTATTTACTTTTGAAAGTTGTGGATGTGTGTAATTAACACCGAGGTAAAAGATAAAAGTCAGATATATGCCTTTCTACTACCACTAAGTACATCTAATGGTCTTGCAATGTAAATATCACATGAGCCAGTGATGAGTGCATCCCCATGACCAAATAAAGCAGATGAGAACATTACTTGGAATATCTAAGGGGGAAACACCCAATAGAAGATTAGGAGGCAGGTGAGCTGCTTTCAACTCATGCTGTCACTTGTTCCAATTAGACCTAATCAACAAACGTCCCAGTTTCTGTCTTATCTGTCAGTACTGATATGTTAATACGTGAGCAATCACTCATAAGTACTATTTATTTTGAGAGAAGTTTAACATGTGACAGAGTTAGGACTAGCTTTATAAGTGAGCACTAGATGGCTTAACTTTAATTCCATTTTCTTTACTTGCCTCTCTATATAACTTTTCAATCTCTATTGACCCTTGTTTTTCTTCAGATTTACCAAATTTTCATTTAGTTTGTCAATATACCATTATTCAGAGAGAACTAGAATTTTGTTGGAAAGGACCACACAAAGCCAAATTCTGAGATCCTGCTAGGTTTAAATTCTGGACCTAGCAATTATCTTTCTCCTGTCTTCTGGGTAGAGAGAGCTATATATGGAGTTGGAGAAGCCTAGAATACACTTATTCTACCTTTATGTGTCACTGCCTGTCTTCCCATGCCTCCCAATACAAATTTAGGATTACTGACATTTTTACCATTACAACTTTATTTTTTGGCTTTATTTAGTATTAAAGTGTAATCCACTGAGAAATAGTAACATTTCTCAGTATCTAATTCTTATCTACTATTATCTCTTAGAATGATTTTCTCAGACTCTTTGAATATAAATGGAGGTAGGTGAGAGGTGCTATATCACAGAACAGTCTGGATTATTATTTACTTAACAGTTGTCCCCAAGCCTGAAAAGCATGGGTTTTCTTTTCCTTTTTTTTTTTTTACAATTCTCACACTGAGACAAACATTTTAGCTGTAATTAGGTAGTTTTCTCTTTACTCTTTTAGAGTAAATAATTGAATTCTAATAGTCTCCATTGGAGACTAGCTAAACTGCACAGTATACCTTAAAGTTTTGCAAAACTATAATATAAAACACTTCTTGCTTTCTGGAGTTTTTCAGTTAGGATTCAGATATGGAATTTTTCCTATAGGGCAGACAAAAAGATTGATTTTGATGTCATTAAGTTTAATCTCTTAGAAAGTTTTGTTAAAGTCATCTGGATAAGATACAGTAATAGAAATTCACCAAAGGCAAATGTGACTTGCATCACCATCATCATATCAATGATTTCATTAAACTCACAAGTATTTGTTAAATATCTAGCACCTTAAAGATCAACATACCTTTGGAAAACAGGAGGGAATGATTCATGTGGGAAGGGCTTTGCGGAAGGAGTTGAAATGGCAGCTGAGCAAGTGTCCTTTGGGTCTGAGTGTATTAAGTTGTAATTGAGGTGGGAGAATTAGAAGAAATCTAGAGTTCACAGCTACTTTATTTAAACATGACAAACTTTTCCTTTATCAAAAAATAAAGAGAAGAATCTCTAACCGTCTAAAAAAGCCATGAACCCACCATGTATGGAGTGTGAATCTGGCCTGAGATGAGGATGGGATAATTGTAATTTAGATGGCAAGTTGATGGAACAAGGAAAAGAACATGGAAGTATGAAGAAATGCAAGAAACACATCACGTATATGATTAATCACAAAAGGAATGGTGTAACATTGAATAAGACAAACGAAGAAGTTGCTATACATTGAAACAGTCTGTGGGGATTTCGGGTTTCCTGTAGGCAAAGAGGAAAATTACAGGGTTAGCTGACAGTCAAAAACCAAGGTCATAGAGGCAGATCAACATGGAACACAGGAAAGAATTTTGGTCAGAATTTGGAGACTTATTTTGCCTAGATTACACCACCCTCTCTCCATAGGTTAAAACGACTGCTTTGCTTCCATGCCCCTCAGATTTCTGCTGCAATTGAGAGGTGGAATTAGGGTCTCCTCTGCTCATTCCATGTCCTGTAGGCTCACCGCCCCCAAATCAATGGACTCCCTGTCATTTGCTTAGGTTGCTGTGTGACCTTTACACATCGCGCTTTTAAATCAAGCTGACATTTGCAGGCCCCCATGGCTCTTTCCTTCTGTGCATCTGTCTCAAGTGAGCTTTACTTGTGACTTATGGCAAGGTGTGTGAGTACAGAGCTGCCCTCAGTACTCAATTATGCAGGCTCTTTTCTGTAACACCCATGATGGGCTTTTCTAAAATCAATTAAAAAAATAAAACAAAAGCTGGTTGTGTGTTATTTTACTTAGAAAGGATTGTCCCTCCAAACGGGGCAAGTTCCAGATTCCACAAAAGGCATACCCTCTTTTTGTCTTCACATACTTCTCAGTGTTTTTTTTTTTATTGTGTCAGCAAGGTGTACAAGAATGTGCAAAGGAAACTTCAGCACACAAGAGTATGAAGTTCAACTCTAGGCCTGGTTTGAAGATTTCTCTCGTTCTGTCTGTGTCTGTGTCTGTCTGTCTGTTTGTCTGTCTGTCTGTCTCTGTCTGTCTCTCTCTCTCCCTCTCGGACTTTCTCTTCTTCTCTTCTTAATGCCTTAGGAATACCTCCCCACTAAGAAGTCCTGATGTGATTCAACCCGGAATAATCAATAGCTCTTATATAAAGGGACACAGGTACACATTGGGGGAGTTAGAATTTGTAGGGCGATGTTTATTTGTGGCACACTCCATTCTCCAGTCCTAGGTCCCTAAGGGAATTGACTATAAAAAAGATCCTATACCGGTTCCTAAATCACTCGGGTCCAGTCTGCGGCTTCACAGGTCCCGTGTTCCCAGAAACATCCTTCAGCGCCTCCGGAACTACCTTTAAATCCACTGACAGCCGACACGCAGACAAGGGTAGACTTGCAGGCGTGGAGGAAAAGAGGCCCGGGAGCTGGGGGAGGAGACTGAGCAGGGAGAGGTAATCCCCGGCGCTTTGAGCATCCCCCTTTTTAGAAGGACTGAGTCTCTCCCCGAACAGCTGCTGCGGTTACACCACAAACTTAAAAAGCCGCCTTCCTGCTCGCGGCGCTGCCTTTCCGCACCCACCCTCGTCCCGCCAAGGCTCCAGCTGGTGCCTCGCTCGCTCCCCGCCCGCGCGCCCCAGCCCCGGCGCTCAGGGGTCCGGAGCGCCCCCTGCCTTCCCTCCCGGCCTCTGCGGCCGCGGCCTCCGCGCTCTGCCAGGGAGGGCCGCCCGGCGGCTCCCCGGCTCCGCCAGGGCTCTGCGGCTCACAGCAAACTCGCGTCGGGTGCCCCCGGGTCAGGGATCGCCCACCCGCGTCCCCGGCAGCCCCGTTCCTCTCGCTCACACCGCATCCCGGAAAGAGAGAAGACGGAGCGCAGAGCACACACCAGGTGAGTCTGGTCTCGGGTCACCTGCTAATTCCGGTTGGAGGGTGTTTTGGAGACACTGGGGATGACCGCATTGGCGGTGGTTTTCCAAGTGAAGTCTCCGGGAGACAAGAACCCGTCCCGAGCTTAAGAAGGCGTGCGAGCGCGGACGGGGATGGGGCGCACCGCAGGACGCGCTGGGAGAGCGGTGCGTTGGGGAACCGAGCGCCGCCGGACACTCGTGGCTCCCGCCACGGCGCTGCCCCCGGGGTGCAGTGGCCCGCGTGCCGCAGCCTGGCGGCGGCTGGAAAGTAACATCCAGAGCCGGCGCCTGCCAACGCTGCACAAACTTTTCCTCCCGGGGCGCGCCCGGGAACTTTTGCTCTCTCCCTAGACGCCCTGTTTCCCCCCCCCCCCCCCGCGCCCGCCCAGGCGCAGGCAGAAGAGGCGTTTAGGAACGCGCCTAGCTGCCTTCGGACGCGCAGGTTCACCCGGCCGACACCCGGACGACTCAGCCAAGGGACAACTATACCCTAGCTCGGGGCGAGGAGGGGTGAGAGGAGGGAAGAGGAATGCGAGGTGGTTGTGTTTTGTTGTGGTATTTTATTGCAGAGTCAATATGACCCTGGATCTGATGGTTCCTTCTTGATCTAAAGGGGAAAGTTGTAAAAAAAAAAAAACCCAACCCAAACCAAACCAAACCAAAAAACAAACAGGCGTAAAGTTGTCTGGCTGTGAAACAGAGCAAAAAGCTAGGGAATGCTCTCCTCCCGGGGCCCGAATCCTGCTTGGATTGATTCTGGAGGACCGCAGTCCTAGGGTGAGCTCGGGCTTCCATCCACACACACGCAGCCCCCCGGAGGGGTCGTGCGTTAGGTGATTTCCCTGGCCCCGGCACCGCCTGGGTTCCGCCCCGAGCCTCTCCTTCTCTGTTGACTCGTGCTCAGCCTCTTGGGCTGAGTGGCTTTGCCGGCGCTGCAGCGCGCCAGAAGTCTGACTTGACAGGAGGAGGAGACGTCGCGCTCTGGCTGGGTCGTCTGGAATGTGAGGATTGGACGGGACGCGCGCGCCAGCAGCTGGAGCTGCTTACCCCCGGGGTCCGCCTCACTGACACCATAGAGTCCCGAGCGCGAACTTTTCTCCACTTAACTGAACCGCCAAGAAGATGCAAAGTCCCCAGATGGACTCATCCTCCCCCCTCCTTCTCGCAAGCCCTCTGCCTTCACGATTTGTCTTAGCCAAAAAAGCACCGGCTGGGGTGGAGAAGGTGGATCAGGTTTTGCTGGAGAAAGGTTCTTCCTGCGTGGGTGCTCAAGTGAAGGGTGTGTGTGTGGGGGGGGGGGTTGTATATAACCTGGGAGGAACTGCTGATGTCATGTAACCATGGCAACCGCAGGGTCCTGGGCAGTGAGCTTCCAGTTTCTTAGTTCTAGCACCAGAAATTTAAAAAATAAAATAAAATAAATGAAGGGTAGGGAAGAAAGAGAGGTCTATGTCATCACTGTAATAATGCCTTCCCTTCTCTCTCTCAACTGTGAGGCCAGGCCACAGGAAGGATGGGCAGGAAGAATCTGGGTTGGGAGCGATTAGCCAGTCACACCCAGCAATTGTTTTAACCCCCTGCAGTCTTGAAGTCCCAGAAGCTAGAGTTGGGGGGGTATAGCTATCACCAGCAAGCTGCAAAGTGACAGCCCAGGTCAAGGAGATGGGAAGGGAGCTTGGCTGCTGGAAATGGAAAGGCAGGAAATACAGGAAGATGATGGCAGATAAGAATAGGACCACGAGGTAGTTGAGAGACAAATGATACTGATTTGGACTGACAACATTTCAAATGGAATTTACCCACTTATGAAATGGAAAATTCTGGAGAAGGGCAAGATGGCTATCAAATTCCCATTGTTTCTCTGTACATCACAATTAATATTCTAACAATATTGTGTAAATGGTAATCCCTTCTTGATAAATAAAGCAGAGAAGCAGTGAGAATTTAGTGTTCATTTTGGCTTTTATTCTTTTAACATAATTATTAAAGCGTTCATTAAAATCAGAATTATCAAAACATATTATAGCCATTAATGTTAATATCATTATAATTAATATCATTAGAATCCGTTTCCCTATCAATATGTCTTGATAGGGAAATGGACTAGTTATTTTCATTTTATTTATTTATTTTTTTAATTTAATTTTATTTTATTTGTGAACATACTGTACAGAGGGGTTACAATTACATGGGCAGGATAATGCGTACATTTCTTACCAAGCATTGCAGCCTCCTCCTTTGTTTACCCTTCACATCACTTGTTATTTTCATTTTAGAGATGAAAATAATACATTGGAAAATATGGTAATTTTTGTGACCAAATACAAGCTTTTAGGAGTCATAGCTGAGATAGTAACTAATTAGTGGATAGGGGTTCAGGAAACTTTCTATCCTCCCTTAAAGAGAAGCCCTTTCTGAGGTCAGTCCTCATGCTGTTTCTGTGTATGGACTCGTTTATATGTGAAGGACACCCAAGAACTTTAAGATCAGTACAGAACAACATCAGTAGAACCAGAATATGTATGTATTAACATACTTTTATAGAGATAGGATTGGAATTTGCAGGAATTATTGCTAGCTTAAAAATGTTTGTAAAAACAACAACAAGAAGAAAAGAAATATAATTTTTCTAACAGCAATCAGTGATTGTGTTGAGTCTAATTACTGTTCATATGACCTGTATATCAAAATATCAATTTCATATTCTGTCACCATTTGTTTACTATTGTAATAGTCTCTTGGCTATTAAGAAAAGGTATACAACTTTGAGTATCTGAGTTTGGTTATTCTTCTTGGGGACTGGCTGTGAAGGAGAAGGCTAAGGGACAAACATGTCTGGCAATACAAAATGTTTTGAAACTATCAGGAAACTGAAATCTACATGAGTACAAAGGTTAAAAGAAAAGATGGGGCTGGGAAGGTGGCTCAGTGGTAGAGTGCTTGGGTAGCATGCATGAGGCCCTGGGTTCAATTCCTCAGCACCACATAAGCAGAAAAAAAAAAGGCCGAAGGTGGTGCTGTGGCTTAAGTGGTAGAGCGCTAACCTTGAGCTGAAGAGCTCAGGGACAGTACCCAGGCCCAGAGTTCAGGCCTCACTTTCCAGAAAGTTGCCTTCACAGGTGAGTCTTATGAACTTGCTTCGTATTTTGCAGGAAAAAGATGATCAAGGAAAAACTTATGTTTGTGTGGATAGAACTCATAAGGGGAGAATGGAGTCATTTTTTGGTGAGAAAAGCAAGGATATAAACAAGTACAAGAAAGAAGGAACACAAATACTCTTTCTAGCATGGTGACAGATTAAATTCTGTCTGAATTAAAGTTACTGAGCTGAGCTACTCTCACCTCTTCTTTTCTAGAGCTACAAATTACTTTATTTGCAGTTGGGGTCAAAATAATGCATGGCATTTTATGATACCCAGTTTTTATTCCCTGTATTGTGCCTCCATTAATGGATATTCATTAATTATCAAAAAGGTTTTCACAGGCTGGCATCTGTCTCAAAGATGTCTTCTAGAAAAGAATGACAAAAAGCATTCCTGTGGTCTGGTGTTTTGTTTCCTGTTTGAATAGAGTTATTTGTCTTAGTCTGTACAATTTTTATTATGTATATGGAATATCAACTTCTTGATCTAAGAGAAAAATAGTCTAACTGGTACCACTTTAATGACTGGTGGTATACTTTGAGATGGAGTAGTCCAGCTTCATTATTTTGGGAAAAATAAATTTGAACTTTGAACTTTGTTTTTCTGTCTGGAAAGTTTAATGCTTTGACACCACACGTTCTTTGGGAAGTATCTTTGTTGAGACTTAATTTTAATAAACATGAGTAGTTCTAGATCCATTTTGAATGGTTCTTACAGTTCTTCCTATAAACACATGCAGAAATATAGAGCAGTCAAGTAAAATAGTAAGTTTCAGTCATCCATGTCATAGTTTTAGAGAGGTAAAATATACAGTTACAGTTGTGCAATAGATTGTACTAATAACATTAATAACAGACTGTAGGTTGGGCACTATTGGCTCACATCTGTAATCCTGGCTGTTTAGGAGGTTGAGATTTTAGGATTCTGATTTGAAGCCTGCCTAGGCAGACAAATTTGAGATACTTTTATCTCTAACTATACAGTTAAATACTAGAAGTAGAGATGTGGTTCAGTTGGTAGAGCTCCAGCCTTGATCAAAAATGCTAGGTGAGAATGTAAGGTACTGAGTTCAGGCTCAAGTACCAGCACATGCAAAGAAGTGACCATAGGTAATAAATCTGGTTTATTACACAACTCTCCAGATCCAAACCTGGTATTGCCAAGGTCATTTCTTCAGGAAACCTCAACCACAGTCCCTCCTGGTGTTTATATCTTCATCTGTACTTTCAAGGTAATCATCTAAATTCGCAAATATGATTTTTTTACATTCTTGTTGTTGATTATAATCACTTCTTACCATTTATTGCACATTTCTATTTCTTTTTAACTCGCTAGGACTATGACATGGAGGATTGAAATGTATGACTTTACTTGAGTGCTGTCTATAGTTGTAGGTGTTGATAGCAAGAACAGAAAAAAGTTTTCAAACTGGATCTATAACTATTCTTGCTTATCAAAATAAACTATAAAAGAGAACATTCAGTTCTAAAATCTCAGAAAAATAATATGTAAACCCAATGATCTTGAATCTGTTGTTTTGTAGACAATAATTCAAATCAATATTGTTTAAATAAATAAACCAGTAATATCTAGAATTCGTTTAGCATTCCATAAACCTAGAGTCATAGAGGAGACAAATTCTAGCCTTCTATCTAAGCCTTTGTATATGCGATGTCTCCCTCTTCATTACTACCTTGTATTTATAGTTATTATATAATAACCTGACTCTGGACTTTGTGGTAACTGAAGTTTCTATTTAACGAGTATTTTGTGACAGTTGTTGAAATTTAAACATTCTAAGCTTTTTCTTCTTCTGTCTTTAGTTTGCATGAGTCATA